AGCAATTCCAAACCCACCATTGACGGGTGTCAGAGCGCCACCCACTGCCATATGGAAGATGGACTTTGTTATCTGGTTCAATGTGTGGAATACGTTTCTGCAATGCGTTCTATCGGGGTTCATGTGGGGTATGAACCGGTACAATCGGCCCAGCTGGGCCACGGGCTTGTTCGTCGCTCTGGCCTGCATCGCTGCTGCAACGGGTGGTTTGATGATGTTCCACGAGAGCAAAAAGGTCAAGAGTATTGAGGGTGTCCCAGTCAGTAAAGATGATCAAGAACGGCTGGCGAGGGATAAGGAGTTGGGCATTCAACATTACAACAACATCAGGGATAAGCCTCCCAAGGAGAAAAAGTAAATTTGGTAGTTGGTCGTAGTCTTCCTCCAGTGCCAGGTGAAAAGCACAAATACGATGTTCAGTAATGCCGCTAAAATAAAGCCAGAATTATCTGTTTCAATATTATCAAAAGATACTGAGTGCGACGCATCCCAAGCCTGGTGACAAAGAGGTGGGATTGTGCGTCAGATGTGGGTCTAGGGTGTTGGTCTTGACGTCTTCGTACATGGGACAAGGTACTTGGATCATATCACTGCTCGTGCCAAGAGCCGCCAGGAACTGAATACTATAGTCATTAAGCACTCACGGCGGGATGGTCTGGTGGCACAAAACATCGTCTTGGATGCGCCGGGATTTATATTGGAGCTACCCACTGCCAATGTCGGTTTGCAGCTTTGTCTATGCCTCCTCAAGGATTCTAAATGTTAGCGTCGTCCTATACTAGCCTTCTTTAGTATGATTCTTATAATTTACAGACGTCTCTTTAGATAATTAGATAGTGACCTATGATGTGATTCTATAATATGTCTTTTTTAGAGAAAAGGTCTAGAAAAAATAGCTTTAAAAACCGAGTATTTCGATATCTCTCTCACCTAAGTTTCTTTAGTCGTAATATACATCAAAACTTCTAGCCAGTTAGCTTTTCTATTGAAGCAGAAGTAATACGCTAACATTTAGAATCCTTAGGGAGGTATAAGCCTCATATGCGAATGCCGAATGAGTGTGTAACGCATGCAATACAAGACGACTGACTACTGCTTCACAGGAAAGTCTAGGCAATGGAAGTGAACAGTAGTACCGAGACTGGAACGGATAAGAGCTAGCTAAGCTCCTTTCTAAGGCACGATTACAGATGAGAAATACCAGGCTTGCTGACTTTTCTAGAATGTCAGGCATCGGATTCATGAATACAAAAGAAAAGTGCGATCTCTCATCCTCACGCCTTCTTCAGAACATCCGATGCAAACCACCTGACCTTGGGTCACATGGGAGGCCCACGGGTTCATGCTGCGACAACGGCTGTGGGGATCCAGCCCTGATAAGCGTTAGGTTAGGTACCTTGAGGCACCGGCACTAAGTGTCAGGTGCCCGAGGGTCCCCAGATAAGGCACCTGCGTTGAGGTACCTTTATCAGACATGTCCATTGCCATCACACCTAAGATAAGGCACCCAGGAAGGAACCTGAAGGGTGCGATTAGGTTCCCTGTTCACCTGCACTCCGCGTTCCACATCCGTGTCCCGACGGCGCCAGTCTGACACGACCTCTTGCTCAATCGTCCGCGGCCTGGGATTCGCAGAGGCAGTGCAACCATTCCGGTCCCCATCCAACCTTCAGTTTCTCAGCTACCAACCTACCTTGACATCAGGATCCTGACCTCGACCAACATCGGGAGCCGGTTGTTCACCTTCGCCGTTGACAACCAGCAGTCAGCCTTTCCCCCGTCTCGCTTGACATCAGCCTCCGCTCGGCAGGCCACTACATCTCCCTCTGTGCATCTGCCGCACCTCCTTTGCCGTCATACCAAATCTTATCCTGGGCACGCTTCTTTCAAGTGATCCAAAATGGCATCGCGGGCTCTCGTCCCGTTTCTCGTAGCTATGATGCTATTGACGGGTGTTTGCAATACCCTTCTTACCAAATATCAGGCACGTCCATCCCCCAAAGTTGATCCTTACCTGAAAGCTAATACTCCTCCTCAGGATATGCAATGTGTCGCAAACTGCGACTCCAAAGACCCTTCAAAGCGATCCTACTTTAACCAGCCGGTCCTCCAAACGGCGCAGATGTTTGTTGGTGAGATGGGCTGTTGGTTGGTAGTAGGGCTAATGAATCTCTATCGCCGATTCGGTCCTGGAGCATCTCGCGAGGGATACGAAGCTGTAAATACCAACGACACGGACGACGCGAACACTGCACTTGTTGCGAACTCTGGTGGGAGACCGAAGCCGCCGAGCGACGAAGGCAACGGCGCCATCCTCCGCGGTCCTCGTATCCTCTTGCTGGCACTCCCTGCTGTCTGCGACATTCTTGGGACAACATTGATGAATATCGGCCTGCTCCTCGTTGTTGCCTCGATCTACCAAATGACTCGCGGAGCTCTTGTTCTCTTTGTTGGGCTGTTCAGTGTCATCTTCCTTCGCAGACATCTCTATCTCTTTCAGTGGTTATCTCTTGTGGGTGTTGTTTTCGGTGTTGCCATTGTCGGCCTGGCCGGCGCCATCTATCACGAGGACAAGAACACACAGAGTGCCGAGGACGAAGGTGCTCCGACGTCCAACGCACTGCTCTCTGTCATCGGTGTGTTGTTGATTGCTGGAGCCCAGATATTCACAGCGACCCAGTTTGTGCTAGAGGAGTGGATCCTCGAAAGATCAGCCATAGAACCCATCAGGGTTGTCGGTTGGGAGGGTCTGTTCGGCTTCATCGTTACAGTCATTGGCATGATTGTCCTGCACCTCGCTATCGGTCGCACTGACGCTGGTCATAATGGGTATTTTGACATGGTTGAAGGCTGGAGGCAGCTTACAGAGAATCGAGCCATCGGTGTGTCCAGCATCCTGATCATGATCAGTATCGGGTAAGCTTCTTGTTACCATGCAGTATCGGCAGCTACTAACATTATCGCAATCAAGTGGATTCAACTTCTTCGGGCTGTCGGTTACGAGGAGTGTCTCCGCCACTTCCAGATCCACCATCGACACTTGCAGAACGCTCTTCATCTGGATCGTCTCTCTCGGCTTGCGCTGGGAGACATTCAAGTGGCTGCAAGTTGCTGGTTTCGCCCTCCTCGTCTACTTCACGTTCCTCTTTAACGGCATCGTCCAGCCCCCTTTCAAGTTCCTCGTCCCGGAAGAAGAGGTAGAGGAGTTGTTACCGGAAGACCCTATCGAACACCAGTAGGCTTGTCTTTACAACATGTCCCACTCAGATATTTTGTGTACGGTACCGCAACTACATTTACTACAAGATAGTGTGGGGTTTTGGTCCGATGTCTAGAGGCAAAACAGTGGCGATGTAGGTGATAGATGGGGGGCCCTGGGAATAGCTTCGTGGCGTAAGGGCATCATCTGTGTTGAGTGAACTACGAAAGAAAGAATGTACGTAAATGTCATACAGTTTGAGAGAAAAAGTGACTAGTGTATTTCGCCTGACAAATGAACCCACGCGTGTGAAGTGACGCCAGGCATGCTGCCTTTGACGCGAGAGCTAATAGCTAGCAGGCGCCCGAGAAGAGTCATCTCCGAACACCTCAAACGCCACCCAAATGCAGCATGTCATACAAACTCCAAAGCCCCCTTGATGAGAAAAGAAAGAAAGAAGAGATCCGCATGGCTCAGCTGTAGAACAAACCGATCAAGGCAGATATCATAAGGTGGCGGTTAAGTGACGTTGCAAAGCAGCTCAGCCTCGAGGATGAACTTGCCCTCCTTGTATTTTTCAGTCGCCTCGTATGCCTTGTCGTACTTCCAGCCAACAGTCTCCTTGCACTGCTTGCAAGTTATATCGCGCACAATGTGGCGTCCAGTCGTCATGTTTCGCTCGCTCGGCTCGCCCGTCTCGATGTTGACGACGGTATTGAAGAGGTAGGCTTTCCCATGCTGGCCTCGGAAGTTCTGGTTATATGGACATTTGGCGGTCAGCGCAGGCTGGCTCAAAAAGATCAGAGGGGAGGGGGATGGGTCCTATTTATCCTCCTATATGGCTGCCTTCATCACACCCGTCACCGTCTCTACACCATGTCGGGCAGGGAAGTCGCACATACCCGGCTGATGATATCTTCATGATTTGAAAGATGTGCTTTGCACGTCTTGCAGCCATAGACCTTGCTGCTGTTCAAATATGTGTTGTACGCCAAACCCATTGTATGGAAGCCTCCCTCTGCGATGGCGATGGGAGGCCGGGGAAACTTGGTGTAGTAAGCTTGCCACAGGTGCCGTCAGTGTTGCCGAATCCCCAGTGACAAGCCCCTCTGAAGGTTGCCAGTGATCAAGAGAATGCCTTGCAATCTGCTGTAGTGAAGGGGCGGGGCAACAACTCAATATGCTCCAGACCACAATGGGGGTAAAGTGAGAATAGGCAAGTTTCGAGCAGGTTAGCTGACGGCGCAGGCAGGCTCGGAAGAGGAGGATGCGGGGGAGGGATTGCGATTGAGAGGAAGGGACAGACGGAAGGCAAGGAACCAAACTGGGTAAGGTGCCTGCCTACCTAAGGTAGGTAGTCAGGTGGGGATGGATAAGGATAAGATAAGAAAGGATGCATGTGCCACCCTCAGCCAGGCGCCATGTGCGTGGTCAAAGCAGTGCACCCTGATTCACGCTTGGGGTACTTCATCACCAATTTCCCACATAGGCTCTCCAGCACAAATAACGCTTGCCAGCACTGAAGGACGATGCATTTGGTGACATATCTAGCGGCTCAATGCCGTCTCTCTTCTGAACTACCCTACATACAATCGCGTATCTACACAGCCTTCGGTTGAGAGCTCCCTATATGTACATTGAACAGGATCCAGCTGAGCCTTTCCCGCCTGGCTCGGATCTTTGTCGTCTCAGACTCGGGCTGTCTGTATGGCCTGACATCTCTTGCTTTAGGCAGACTCCTCTTGTTCGTTGTTGATTGTCATTGTGACACTAGAGGTTTGCACACTCATATTTCTCCTTTCTACCACGAGAAGGCCTCCTCGTTGAAGTCGATGGCGGTATCATGCTGGCGATCGCGGACAGCGCGGCGGACCTCGTCGCTGAGGGCACCTGGGCCACACACGCTGATACCCATAGTGCCGATCTGGGATTCCTGCTCAGCCCGGATGAGCGTCTCGATGTTGGGGCGGCCAGGAAACATTTGTACAGTGGCCGACGGGCTGTGAATCTCCTTGGTTGAACGAGGGCGGCTGACGAAAAGCATGATACGGAGAATGTCACGGCGCTTCTCCATAGCCAGGATTTCCGTCATCCAAGGACGAATCCACTCGAGATGTTCGGGGCTCTGGATAATCCAGACGAGAACCACCTTCCGAGCAGCGACCGTTCCGTTTGCGTAGCCGGCAACGAGGTCACGTACGTGGGGAACCTGGTGAGTGATTCCAACACCACCAGCAAACAACATGACAGTGCCATATGAGCGCATGCCGTGGAGACCGCCGTAGGGCCCTTCAATCATGCAAGACGTTGTCATGCGGCCATCGGGGCATGCTGCGGCCTTGCGGTAGAGTGTGTCGGTCATTCCAGTGCGAGCGCGGATGATGAAGGACATGGTGGTTTTGCGCATGGCCAGGATATCCTGGCGGTTGAGGGACATCTTCTCGGCTTGGGGATCCTCAGCCTCTTCGGCCCAAGCCACGGAGAACGGATGTGACTGCCACCAACTCAAGGAAGGCAGGTACATATAAGCATGCTGGCCTGGACCGAAGGTCCAGGGGCGGGCCATCGTGACGGTCACACGGCATGCATTGCCTGGGAGTGCTTCAACAAGTGCCTTGCTCCCTCCATGGCCCACGTTGCCGTAGAAGACACGGACAGCGCGCCAAACCCGATCGCCGGCCCAGAAGATGACAACAGGCCACAGGTACTTCAGTTGAGGCAGAGCCTTCATCTGCAGGTGATACCAAGTTCCAACGACCGCAGCGATAGCCAGCAGAATGTGCAGCAGCTTGAACGTCTCGTAAAAGGCATGGCGGATAGGGCTAGATGCCTGAATGCCAAGGGCGACAAAAGCACAAGTTGCCTGTTTCACTGTCAGTTCCTCATGTAACACGCCTCTGAGGCTATTCCACTTACGACAAAGCCGAAGAGTAAGAAAGGAACGGCGATGATGGACTGCCAGCCAGACTCCCAGCTGGAAGTCTGAGCCTTGTTGGCCCACCAGGCTAGGGTATGGGTCACAGCCTCCAGAATGACGATGCGACCGAACCAACGGTGCAGCAGATTGAAGGTGTCAAATGAGATGCCAAGCAGTTTGATCAGGGGGTTGTTGCGTCCAGCCATCAAGAACAAGGGAATCTACATTTAGTCAGCATGTCTTCAGCGGATCAATTTATGTTTGCCTGCAAGCAAGCAAGCAAATACACCCTCACCCGTCCCGCCCAAATACCCGGGACAGACCATGAGAATCAGCACGCACCATGTTAACGACAGCGAGGGTCCCGGTCCTGTTTCGAAGCTGGCTAGCCGCAGCAGCAAATGAGCCAGCGAAGGGAATGTTGATGACGCAGAAGGCAATATTGGTGCCTAGGTAGCCGGCGAGGAACAGCAGCTGCAGACGACTGGGCAAGGTGCCAACGTTGATGGCGCTGCTCATCTGGATTTCGCGGTTGTGGCGCTTGCTGAAAATGGGGGCATAGAGAACATTTTTCTTGATCCAGGCGAACTTGGAATCGGTTTCGACGAAGTACCGTTGGTTGTCGTTGTTGAGGCAGGCGACAGTACGTACGTATTTAACGATGACCGTCCAAACTCTCCAGATGATGACGGCAGCCGAGGTACAGGCGATGATATAGTACAGGTAGTTAGAAAGGGCCTTGTTTTCCAGAGCAGCGTTGATGGCTGCCTGTTGGGCCTCGGGCGACTGGGTGCCGCCGCCGCCAGCCATGTCGACGGATTCAGTTGGCGGGAAAATTGATGACACACACAAAGTCCAAGAGTGAAGAAGTCGTCGATTCGTAGTCGTTGCGACGTCGTCTTTTCAGTCCAATATCGGTCAGTCGTTGTCCAGCAAGGTCGCAGGCAGATATCGGAGAATCGAAGGACGTCGGAAGTTGGTACGTTGTGTTAGAGAAGACAAGAAACCGTGGGCAGTGGCGAAGGAGTCGTGGAGGTTAATAACCCGAGTAGACAATACGTTGATCGTTTGTTTGGTGGTCGGAAATATATCGAAACCGGTACGATGGGTACTTCCTGAGAATAGCCTTAGGAAAAGTAACGTCGAAAGGTGCAGTCAATGCAGGGGGCCAAGATGACAGCAGTCTGGGAAAAGAAGAAAGAAAAAGGACGTTTTGATAATCGACGTCACGAGCCCAGGCGTGAGAAGGGTGAGGGAAAGGGAAGGACAAGAAGAAAATTTACTCGTGATCGAGCTAGCTGTGGGGAGAGAGAAGAAGAGCAGAAAGTGAAGTAGCGAGACGGAAGGTGACGCAGGAACGGTGATGTAAGTAGCAAAAGCAGACCGGACGCCGCCTTTTTTTTTTGGTCGCGGCCCCGGGGGGGGGGGGTCTGACTGCTAAGGTAGGCCGAATTCGACGCGCACTCACAGAGCGACAGACACTGGGCTACCACCATCTACTGCAAAGGCAAGGAACGGCAAGCAAAGCCCTTCAGTAGGTGCCCTTTTTGCCGAAGGGGTGTACGGTATAGGCAAGTGGAGAGGTGTGCGAACTGATACGAAGACCCTAGTCGACAACGACTAAAACACCATTTTTACACTGCAAGAGAGGATCCCGGATCCACTGATGTGGGCATCCCCAGATAGATGGAAGGGGATCACCTTGCCTGCACCCACCTGCCTTGTAACTTACTGTTGCTGACCTACTGCGTAGTATTCGTACATAATAGTACTGCAGAGTACATACTTACCTTGTAAATGGTCGGGTCCATGGAGAACAGTCGTTCATTATTGAGGCGTCCGGCCGGCAGCTGGCCTGGTACACCGGCTCCAGGTCCCTAAGGAGACGACCTTCCTCATGACGCAAGTTAAGTCGAGACGAGGCGCGGTCGCGGCCCCTGCAGGGCGACGCATGGCAGCGCAAGGCTTGACAGGGTGCTCGGCAAGGGCGCCCGAATTTGTTCGCAGGAGCCGGACGGCAGTTGGCTCACTCACCGCGGTTCTTGCCAGGACTGCGCCGTATACACTCACACACAATGAGGTTGCAACTGTGACAGTCGTTCCTGGTTGACGGCGGCACTGCAATGCAAAGGCCAACGATGACAGACACACGACACACGACACACGTCGCCCCTTGTCGGCCGAGATGGGAGGGAGGGATTGGATTTGCGAGGACGGGATGGCATGGCACGAGCGTGAACGAGGACGACTGGCACCAGCAAGGATTGCATGGTTGGGTTCGGGCAGGACGATGAGCAGGAGCAAGGACCAGCATGTGGGTGAGCGACAGAGGCGAAAGGACATCAGCGAGGGGCAAGGAGGACGACAGGGACCAGGAAAGTCTTCTCGACGCCGTATAGGGACACTACGCTACGTACTGCATACATAGTACATAGTAGGTAGACCAAGGAGCGAAGACGCAGGGGAACGCTCAGGAGTGACAAGGGCCAAGGCTCAGCACTATACCTGGATCAGACCTTGTTTTTCGCTCTCCCCTATGGGTTTTCTTTTCTCTGCCATTTCGTTGCTTTTTTTGGTCCGTCTTTTTGCCTGACACAGCAAGCATCTCATAGGGTTTTCGTCCTACCTGAACGAAGAACCAGGTTGCCAGGAGAAGCAAGTCGGAGCCAGAATACCTAAGGTGAGGCGAGGTGCCTTGCACACGGGCACCTCACCTCAGGTGTGGTGTAATTTTGCCTGTTGCTTAGGTAAATCCGTTTGGAAGCTGTCATTGGGCACGGCGCAGTGCAGCGCGGCGCGGCGCCACCCCATCAACCCCTGGCCAAGGCCGGCGGTTGCAGAGGTGATTGGCCAAAGATAAATCCGTACCTTGCAGCTGGTGCCATATCTGACTCTGATCCAGGGGCAGCGCTGGACAAATTAACCACACGACGCAACCACGCAACCACGCAGTCAGACTGCAACTTCAACCGCAGACCGGCCAGCGACCGGCCATTGGGCGGGCCCGCACACGCGTGACGGCGGAACATCCGAAGTCTACGAATGCCAGCTGAGTTCCCATCCCCTCACTCAATCTTATCAGTTGCGGTGGCGATGGGTCTTGGCCGCGTGTCAACATTCGTCCATGCTACCCAAATATCCTCATTATACATCGTCATGTTGAGTTCGTCGAGATGCAGAGATGCGGACATACCACAAACCGGCCGAGCAACTGTGCTGGACTGAGCGAGCGCTGGTGCGCCGTCATTGGCGTTCTGGGAGGTGGCGGGGAAGTGGAGTCTCTAAGCCTCTGAAACAAGCCGCTTCTGCGGCTAGGTGCCTTAGATACCTCTCCGTACCTAGCTACCTACCTACCTTTGAGGAGTGCCTTAGGCATCTGAGTACACAGGATATCTTAGTACAACGGGCCATGAAATGAGGGGCCGGTGGGGTGCGGGATGCCATGACTGGACCTTCACAGCGGATAGTCAAACGGCCAAACGACGACCGGCCTTCCAATGGAATCTACGCCGTACGTCTTGCGCCAATCTTGTGGTCTTGCAGATTGTGATTGCGCAAGTCCAGACGAGCCAACACATCCGTTTGTATCACCCCATGTGCGTCTCGGTCTTGTCAGGGAAGGATCAGCCGAGAAAGCCAGGGACAACATCGGATCTCCAAGCCATCGAACAATTCCGTCGACCCTCCCAGAGCCAAGGTACAGCAGCGCCAAACTCTGCTGCTGTACTTACTTAGTACTGCGTAATCGTAAGGTATGCATCTGGAATCCGTCAGTCTCACACCGCGACACAGAGACTCAGCCAGAAACACACCCTTTCTTGCGTCTAGTCTTTTTCATCCGGTCTCCTGACACCATCAAACTGCACAGTCGTCATACCCCCGTCGAGTCCCCCAAAACAAGAAGCCAATCGCCCCGTTTCCGCTGGCGCGAAGCAACCAGACCCGATGTCTCTTTCGGCTGGACTTGTCCGCCTGTGACTTCTTGTGTCTGGGGTGCTGTCTGGGAAACGGCGGGATGGTGGGGGTTGATGCGTATAGCCAATACCAGAAAGAAGCCTCTCGTCGGAAGCCAATACGGTTACCCATAATCGATTTCAGCCCGTTGGGGCTGATGCGAGCCCACCATCAATCTTGTCTGTCTGTCAGCGGCACCATCGGATTTGCACCTCTCCCCGTTACAGGGTTCTCGCCGACTACAGACGGGAACTATGCCGTCGTCATACAAAAAGCCAATCAGTCACATAACCCCGTACACGACAGTTTATTGAATATCGGATGTATCCGTATATGCAGTCGCCTGCATCTCCCAATGTCCGTATCGACTTCTTTCTTGCTCAGGGGCCTCGCTTTAGATGCAGATGGTGATCTTGGGAGGATGTGGCCGTCGGTCGCGCAGATCACAAACCAAACGCGAGTGTCATGAGACGCCGAACTCTGTCTTTTTCTTTCCCTACTTTGAGATGAAGACGTTTCATGACTTCCGTTTTCACCCACGGATTTGAGACGGGAAGATATGGGACAAGTCAAGTCAACTCGGAACATTCCCATGTTTCTCGGGACATCGCCGCGCGCGGGCCTTGACTCGGGCGGTGCCGCCAGCAAGACTAAGGTAACTACGCATGGTATGCGCTTGGCCGTTGACTCGAGGAGTCGAGAATGGACGAGCAGGCCGGGCCTCCAGTCCCTATGGCTGACGACTAGTGACGACCGCGCGGGGGACCTGCAGATTGGTTGGTCATCTTGGCTGCAAACCACCCGCAGTGCCATCGCCATTGGATCGCATTCTGAGACAACAACGACGTGCACTCGTGGCGGCGCTGAACGACGTGTCTTCGTTGTCGCCTATGCCGCGCATGGTAATGGCGAATTTCTCTAGAGTCTGCGAGCACACATCGATCGTCCGTCCGCCTGTCGCCTCAAGCCCCTCCAAGGCCCCAAAATGTTCACCATCGAGGATATGTTTCGTTCTTTCTTATCAAGGTTTTTTTTTTTTTTTTTTTTTTTTTTTTTTTTTGGCGGTCGCAGGGGCGGCCGATTCGTTAAATGCATGGGATACATTGCAATTAAAGTGCAGCGTCGTAGTTTGGCCAGGGCCTACCTCTCGGATTGTCGAGAACGATGGCATCTGATGATCTGCCCACTGGTTGGATGAGGCCGACGTAGTCAATATCCCTACCGCCCAGCGTTAGCTGGGACACCACCGTCGTTACCCTGCGGCTAGCCTTTTCCCCAGACACGAACCCTCGCTTGCTGCGTAAGGCCTTGTCTCACTGCATGCCATCTTGGTCAACTGCAGTCAGCATGATGAACATCTAGAAGCGGTCTTAGATGCTCCAGCTTGTGGCTTGTTGTCGGGACGAGTTGTTCATGTCCACGCACACCATAGAAGAATGCCACTCCGTCTCATCTCATCCTGAAGCAATTGGCATTCACCACACCGATCGGGACCAGAGTGGACAGGCTCCGCTCCTCGCCAATTGGTAGTCGAGATCTTGTCGGTGCGCATGTTTCTCGTCCTGAATATGTCGCCGATGTGATTAACAATCACCATCTTTTCGGCCCGGGGCATAGGCGATGGCAGCCCGCCCAGACGAGGAACGCATCACATCGCCCCGTCGTCTGAACGATTCAATCCGTCCTTGCCTGCTTCACGCCATTCACTGGGACGTCCATCCACATCGTCTACTGTTGGGCTACCGGGGTGCTCGCCGAGACAACCGTTTGCTCGTTACGAGTGCCTCGCTCGGCCTTGAAGGGTCGGGCTGTGTTTTCGAAATACGTGATCTTGAGGGCGCCTGGCGAGGATCGTTCCATCCTCTGACCCATCCACAAGAACCATTGTATATCCACGCGGGCGCCGCAGGAACAAGCATGGGTTCGGAGCCGGAAGAAGACATGGCCATGTGGATGGAAGGGGAAGAGCCTACGGATTAGAAAGAACTTCGAAGTAGCCACCCCTGTCGACCAATGCAACTCACCTCCACATGGACAAGGTAATGAAACATGAACTGACGGATGTTCTGAATTCCACCGACCATTCCGCCTGGCCAAAAACAATGCTTTCAATTTACTTGTTGCTGTGCTCATTACAATCCTAGTTCATCATCATCACCGTGGCCAGTCATGTTGCTCGTGATAGTCAACTCTGTCAGAACCCTGCGACTGCCTGTCTCGCCGCGCCGGACCGGACGCCGGCTACCTCCCCGGGCCTTGACAGCCAGCTTGCCTAACTGGGCCTTGCCCTCGCAGTTCTCCTGGCCCAGCATTCGCGGTCTTTCCTCTTTGTCATCCTCATATGGCTCGTCCGGGGCCTTTCTCTTCTCGGCTCGGCGCCGTCCCCCACGGCGCTCGTCAAATTTGCCCGGCTTGGTCATAACGTCGTCCGTAGCGATGGAAAGCCTACGTCTGTCATCCAGCCCCGTCGCAGCCATTGGCACATGCGTCTCTACCCTGGCCGCCGGGATATTCTCACTCGCACTGCGATCCCGACTGCTCCGACGGGGCAGAACAGCGGCAAGCCCAACAGCAGTCCGTGGCTTCGCAGCTGGACTCAGAGCGATCCACTCGCTAATGCCCTCCTCCCATCTGAAGCCAGCGAAAGAAGCAGCCCTTGCGCCTAGAGATTCCGGCATTGTGTGTTCCGATGATGCACCCATCAGGGCTTCTGCAAAAACAAGATCACGCAGGTCATCAGTCTTCTGTGCCAGTGGGAAAGCGCCGTCGCTGCTCAGCGTGGCAAGTTGAGGGATATGCAGCTCGTCGACGAGGTTGCAAATCGCCGCAAAGTACTGACTGCTGGATGGCCCAGCAGTTGCTTTGCCGCAGCAGTGAGCTGCCGAGCACGTAAGGGCAATGGTCATATCGTGAAGTTGGCCGTGTTGCTTGTCGGTTTGGTCGTTGGATCGATGCGATTGACACTCGGCTGCCCATATGTTCTTCAATGCTGATTTTGCCGTGTTGTTGGCTGTCGTGGTGGAACCCGAGGCGAGGTAGCTGGTCAGCAGCAAAGGATACAATGCATCGCCTCCACCTCCTTTGCTCGTCACAAAAGCCAGGGCTTCTTGGATTACGTGGGAAACCCGACGAGTGGTTCCGTCCACGCGCGTCGCAGTCCCAACTCTTCGTGATATCATGGCCATGGCTGATAGAGCTCCGAGCACGCCCGTTAAAGTCAGCTTCGCAGCATCCTCGCGTGTGCTACAGCCACTCGCCTTCCGTCCCCTCCGTCTACCAAATGCACAGAGGGACAGCGATCCAAGTCCCACCGATGCAAAATGAATGGCCGAAGGATTCGTCTGTTCGTCTAGCATAGACGATGCAGACGCTGTCCATAGCGAGCCCAGTGCCTGTGTCGATAGTGCATTCCCGTCGAGGTAGCCATGAAACAGTAACAATGATGTAGATTGAAGCAAGTACGGCATGATGTTGGCGTTGGTCGCGAGGTCGGACATCATCCTCAAACCGTCACTTTGACCAGTGTTGTCGTATCCATCACCGTCTCTCCGAGCCTTGGTGAAGCGACGTCCTAGGAAGGCCTCCATGATTTCTCCAGATTCTTGATAGCACCCAACCTTTTTACAGTGATGGATGAGAATGCGAATGAATTCTTCGTCAAGGATGCCGTCGTCAATGGCCCCTCGCAAGAGGAAGATTGCGTGAGCCCTCAACAACAGCCCTAGGGGGCCCCATCCGTGATCAGCGCCGCCCAAAGCTTCCAACTCGTCATATACAAGAAGCGAATAAGTGACTTTCTTGATTGAGGAAACTGCCCCACGAGCTTCTGCCTCGAGCTTCTCCCAAGCATCAATCTCTGCCGCGCGAGACGGAACCTTCCGCATGCTCATCGCCAAAAGTGACTTCTTATGAACCAACGGCTTGCCGGTCGGGGTTGCACGTAGCAGTACATCTAGATCGTGGAGAATCCCCTCATAAAGTTGATACTTGGAAAGTGAACAACTGTGTCTCAGTCGTTCCATTTGACTCAGAGCTGAGTCCAATCGTCCCTTTCTCTCGAATCTTGGCGCCATGTAGGCGGTTGCTGTCCCTTCGTGTATAGATGTGGTGGGAATGGTTGCACCAAGCTCATGATATGTCACTTTCCGTAGAACTGGGGTTGGTACGTTCGGCACACTAGACTGAGGAGCTTGGCGTGAGTAACTGGCGGCCCTTATCGATGCCTTCGATGATGATTGAGTGGCTGCTGTGCCAGTCCTCGGCGTTGGGGACGCTTTCCTCGAATATGTACGTTGCGGGCGTCTGCTCAGATCACCTGATTTGGTTGCGATGCCGATCTTCGTTTTCTTGGCTGGAGGCTGCGGGTTTACTTGGGCGATTCCGGCTCGGCAGGATTCTTCATTCCAAGCTGGGTTTTCCGCATCGGAGATCTTCCGTAAAGCAATGATGCGAGAGTTCAGCGGCCGCAAGAGCCGCCTACATCTTGAAGCAGTCCATGACGTATTTGGGAGCCCGCAATAATCTCGATCATCGTTCGAGGGCCCGCCAGAGACAGCTTTTTGCTTGTCGAAAGCTTCAATACGCGCCATGCCGATGGCAAACTTGGATGAACTGTCTGCCCAAGAAGTATGTCAAAGACTAATGAATAGAGTCCAAGTCCCCTAACCAGTGCTCTGCAACGCTGTTGAATGCTGCAAGCGGTTAAGATGAAGCAAATGGTCTCCGCGGTGGTCCGCGATGAGGAAGCAAACCTGGGACGATTTGTCCCCAAAGAGATACCAGACTGTGAGAATAAGTTGGGCAAACAAAAATATGAGAATGGAAAAGACAGAGCTCAAAGTCTGATAAAAAAAAAATCTAATTGAATAGTTGATGCTGGTCGAACGAGGTCACGTTGTAGTCCTTTCACTGTTTGATTCGTCGTTTCTCACACCTCAATATTTACTTTGTCGCTAAGTAAACAAGATGACTTAAGGTACCAGCACCTGGGTAACAACGGCTCCTGAAGTGGGTCACATCAGCCGAGCTTCCAGCTCGCGTGTGCCTTTCCTAGGTACACTGTATTACCTAAGAGCCGCCCTAGAACGACGCCGATACCCAGCCCACCGCGGCTGGTGCTGGAGCTGGGGTGGAGCTGGAGCGGCACGGTGCTCCCTCTCCCCCGAAAAAACCGAATGTAGCTCCAATACGCCGGCCCGGTGCATTGCCGTCACGACTTTTTTTTTTCTACAAGCGAATTTTTTTTCTTCGCAGGAAAAGCTCTTGTTCACTCCACACACCCGCAAAATCCAACTTGGTCGTTTGGGTTGGAACACCTACATTTTCAGGCCTCTGTCCTTTTTTCTTTTCACCCCCCTCGCTTGGAGTCGAGTGAATCAAGGTACTGACGCTTCTTACTCATCGTGTTGTTTTGGTGGGTTGTGCGATTGTTGGATTTCAACCCCTCTCTTCCCCAAGGTCTTACTTCTCCGGCCGCAACCAACCACTCGAGGAAGACTGTCTTCTCAGAACAAGGAATCAAGTTGTTGTGCACAAGAGAAGTACAAATGTCACACTCCGATCAACCCACAGGCAAAGGTATTGTCCATTATAGCGCTTGCTTCTTGATTGAGTCCAAGCTAAATAAAAGCCATCTACCCAGATAATGCCACGAATGAGCCTGAGCTTCCCGCCGAGGGCCAGGTCGAGGCTCAACCCGAGGGCGCTGAGGTCGATCAAGGTCTGGAAGCATTGATCAATCTTACCATCAAGCTCCCTCACGAACCCGGTCAGATGCAGATCACGGTTAGCCGCCTGGCACATGCCCATTCGCAAGTACACACATCGCTGATTGCCTGTTCCGCTGCAGGTCTCTCCTCAAGAGCAGGTCCATGAAGTTCGGCAGTCCATCATCGACTTGCCTGTGGCGTTCCAGTACACCTGCTTCCACTTGGAACATCGAGGCGAGCGCATCAACGACTTCCTTCCTATCTCGGATATACAAGGCTTGAGCGAGGACCCCGAGGTCACGCTGGTCGAGGAGCCTTACACCGAGAAAGAGGCTCGCATACATCTTGTTCGAGTTAGAGAGCTCATTGGCGCTGCCGGAGACCGTACCGATACTGTCCAAGGTGTTCTTCCGGGCCTGTCTCTTCTCGATACCGTCGAGCCCCCGTCGGAAGAGCAGTCCAATGCAGAACAGGTCCATTCCCAAGCCGCCAAGGACGATGCCACTAAAAATGAGTACAGCTTTGGTGCGCCGGTTCCGCTTTCCACTCTGCTTCCCCCAGCACCCGAGGAAGAAGCTCCGAAGACTATCAAGTCTATCTCTTTGTCGGCCTGGAACCCCCCGCCCCCTCACCTCAAGCAACGAGGCCACCTCTTGTACCTTGTGGCCACGACCAATGAGGGCGAGCAGCACCAGATCACAGCTCACGTTGGCGGCTTCTTCGTCAACAAGTCCTCCAACCAGAAGTTCGATCCCTTTCCTCGACCTGCCCCTAAAGGCCAGTCGGCTCACTCACTGCTGAATCTACTCGACCTCATTTCACCATCTTTCTCGGCCTCTTTCTTGAAATTCCAGGAGTTCAATAGCCTTAAGGACCCATTGGCGACATTCCAAATCACCAATGCCATTCCCTCAGCGCCATGGATCGTACCTTCGGCGTCTTCCCCACTATGCGCCCATTCTGCCGACCCCACACGGTCCCAAGAAACATACTTGATTGCAGGTGCCGATAACACGGACACTTTGCGAGACTGGAATGAAGAATTCCAGTCAGCGAGAGAGCTGCCGAAAGAGACCGTCCAAGACAGAGTTTTCCGTGAGCGTCTCATGTCCAAACTTTTCGCTGACTACAACGACGCTGCAACTCGAGGTGCGGTCTTGGTTGCTCGCGGAGAGGTCGCCCCCCTGAACCCCACGGAATGCAAGGACGCCCAGATCTTTGTCTACAACAATGTCTTCTTCTCCTTTGGTGCCGATGGCGTGGGCACGTTCACTTCCGAGGGAGGCGATGAGGCCGCCCGTGTTGCAACTGGCAAAGACGTGGCGGGTGTCAGGCTGGTGAACCAGCTGGACATCGATGGCCTCTTCACACCTGCCACGGTCGTTGTCGATTACCTTGGTAAACGCATCGTTGGTCAGAGTATCGTGCCTGGCATTTTCAAGCAGAGGGACCCTGGCGAAAACCAAATCGACTATGGCGCTGTTGACGGCAAAGATGTTGTCGCGTCTGACGAGCGATTCGTGTCTGTTTTCGAAAAGCTGTCGCGCGCTCTCAGGGTCAAAAAGCATGCTGTCTGGGACAAGGATGGCAAGCGCGTCGACCTGGAGGCCAGCGTCGAGACCAAGGGCTTGATGGGCACAGACGGAAGAAAGTACGTTCTGGACTTGTATCGCGTGACGCCTTTGGATATCGATTGGCTTGAGGAGAATGAGGAGGGCTTCGATGACTATCCTCATCGTATGGCGGTCCTCCGCCCCGAATTGGTCGAGTCGTACGGCAGAAAGAAGATGAAAGCCTGGGTCGACGAGGAGCTTGCCCAGCGTGGCAAGGCTAAGGACGCGACAAAGGAAGCCCCTGCCGAGTCTAAGAAATCTCAACAAGCCAAGACCGAGGACGAGAGCGACGGAAGTGATGACAGTGAGGAGAGTGAGAGTGAAAGCGGAAGCGAAGCAGAGTCCAAATCCGCCAAGGACCCTGTTAAGGCCGGGAAGCCCGAAAACAACAAGGAGGCAGAGGCATTGAACGAGTCAAAGGAGTCGAAAGACCACATTGACCTTTCGAAGTTCCAGTTTTCCCTGAACCCCGATGTCTTTAGCGGCCAAGTCCCTAAGACCGATGCGGAGAAGGCTGAGATGGAGCGGGATGAAGAGGATGTCCGCCTCGCCTGCAAGTATCTTCGAGAGCAGGTCATTTCCGACCTCATTCGTGAGCTTACCGACTGCGATATTAGCTTCCCCATGGATGGTCAATCTCTTGGCCGTCTCTTGCACAAGAGGGGCATCAACATCAGATACACGGGCAAGGTTGCAACTCTCGCCTCGGATCCTCGCCTTCAGTGCCTGAAAGACATTTGCATCCAGGACATGGTCGCTCGGTCATTCAAGCACGTCGCTGCCACATATCTCAGACATCTGCCCGCACCTTTCACATCGGCTTGCATTTCCCACCTCCTCAACTGCCTTTTGGGGTCCCAATTGAACCCCAACCCCCCCGCTGAAATCGACTCAACTCTGAGGTCTCTGTACTCAGATGCCGACTTGTCGTTCGAGAAGGCCACGCCCGAGACCATCCGTACCAGTATCGAGGAACAAACTTTCAAGAGATTCAGATACCGTCTGGACGCTCAGTGGTTTACTCAATTCAAGCCCCTCCAGCTCTTGCGTGAAATTTCCCTGAAGCTTGGCTTTCAGCTGCAGGCAAAGGAATATAACTTCACCAGCAGGCCTATTGAGCAGGCCGTTCCAGCTCCTGCTACCAACGGCACCTCTACAAATGGGGCCAACGGCGAGAGCAAAAACAAGAAGAAGAAGAAGGCGCCCAAGGATGTTTCGCCTACCTCCTCGAGCCCGCCGCCTCCCGCCACCGCCTTCACCGCTGACGATATCGTCAATTTCGTGCCAGTGGTCAAGCACTCGTGCCCGCGAAGCGCTCTTGCCGAAGAAGCTCTGGAGGCTGGCCGTATTTCCATCATGCAGGGCCAGCGCAAGCTTGGCCAAGAACTTCTTCTGGAGTCATTATCCCTGCATGAGCAGATTTATGGAATTCTTCATCCCGAGGTCGCTCGCGTCTACAACACCCTCTCCATGCTGTACTACCAACTGGAAGAGAAGGAGGCCGCAGTTGAGCTCGCAAGAAAGGCCATTGTCGTCTCTGAGAGGACGGTCGGTGTCGACTCCGCCGAGACTCTCCTCAATTACCTCAACTTGAGTCTCTTCCTGCACCAGGCGGGCGATAGCAACGCCGCTTTGGTTTACGCCAAGCATGCGTTGAAGCTTTGGAAGATCATCTACGGCGCTGACCATCCCGACTCTATCACTACTATCAACAATGGGGCTGTCATGCTGCAACATCTCAAGTCCTACCATGAGTCAAGGCTGTGGTTCGAGGAGTCCCTTCGCATTTGTGAGCAGGTTTTCGGCAAGCAGTCCATCAATGCTGCCACTCTTCTGTTCCAGCTCGCTCAAGCTCTTGCGCTGGACCAGGACTCAAAGGCCGCCGTCAACCGCATGCGCGAGTCTTACAACATCTTCCTCAGTGAGCTCGGCCCTGATGACAAAAACACAAAGGAGGCAGAGAGCTGGCTTGAGCAGTTGACACAGAACGCCGTTGCTCTTGCCAAGCACGCGAAGGATGCTCAGGCACGCCGTCTCCGTGCCGGCATACGCTTCACGCCCAAGGGGTCTCCTTACGAGGCATCCGCACCCGCTCCTCGCGTGTCTACCACGCAAAACTCTCGTCTGGGCGGTTCCTCGCAAATGGACTCGCGCAGCATCGACGAACTCATCAAGTTCATCGAGGGCACTGACCAGCAGGCGAAGTCCTCAAAAGGAAGGCCGAGCAGGGGTAACCCTAAGAGAAGAGGCAAGGCCTCTAAGTAAATCGCAAACAAAAGAGAAACGTGTGCACGCTTTTGGCTGCTGATCCTGCCGGGACAGACATCAACGCCGTCACACACTTGTATTTTTATCAGAATATACGTGATAACGAGGTTGGGGCAAGTGTACTTGATATAATTGGATGGGCTTAACGGTCGGTGCATACTTGATAGATTCCGGCACTTAGAGAAAAAAAAAAGTAGCATAGGGCGGAACACTTGACAGAATCACACTTCTTCACTCTTTTAAATGATTTCGCGCTCGGCAAGAGGCCCGTCCACCCGTTCCTCAAGATACCACTGTCTATGGACTGAGGCACACACTCGGAACCCGTTGGTGATCGGTTCTCAAAAATTCATGTCTTGTCATTAGCTACCATTATCATGAGTGACCGTTCATAGCACTAGCTATGGAAATTCCTCGGCTCACAGGCGCATGGTACGAACCAATGCTTTGGAAACCCCTGGCGCGGTTGTTAGTACAATAAAACCTCTGCCGTCGATGGTTCCAGAACTCACTTTGCTAAGTCAAAACCCTGCTCCTCTTCGATTTCGGGAGGATTCGAAGGCTCGCTTGGCGCCTCCCGGGATGATTCCTTATTCTGAGATCTTGTCGGGCTCTGGTTGGGTGACTTGGCCGGAGGGGGACTACTGCTCTGAGGAACCCCACCTAGAGACGGTTTGGACGGGCTCATGTCGAAGTGGGCGCCAGGCTTCAGCGGAGTGCTACCAATCTCGGCATACTTCCAAAAGGGCGCCGGGGAGCTGGTAGGCATGTGCTGGCTAGGCCTCTGGGCAGTGCTAGGCGGTGCTAGTCGTGGGTGAACTCGGTGGGGTGCGGGTGTTACGAAGGATGCTCCATCGTCAGGAAGATACGATGAAGTCAGTGTCGGAGATTGATCATTGTAGCTTGTCGAGGTGAAGCTCGCCGAGGCCGACGTGCCGCCCTTGCGGGGCCTTGGTAGAGGACTTCCATCCGCAGTCAATGCCGTGCTGGGAGGTGCAAGACGACGTGTGCTTCGGTCTGGGGTGGATTGTACCGCAGCAAGGGAAGAGCTGGGAGGCGGCGAGCCCGTAGCCGACACTTTTCGTTTCCGCGTTGAGGCAGGCTCCCCTCTTGCATTCACGTCTTTCGGACCGTGTGTGATGTAGTTCAACTGGCTGGGCGAAGAAGGCGCTGAGGAGCCTCGGTGGCCACCCCGACCGCCCTTGTATGCACTCCTGGTCATTTCTTCACGTGCCTCTGCGACAATCTGCCACTTCATGCCTTTGCCAGGCTCATCAGTGGATCTGGCCACCTTGTCGAATGATTTGTTCAGCGAGAGATTATGACGAATGGAGTTCTTTAACAAGATTAACAGTCTGAGCGAGACGGAACTGGTCACATGAAACGTACCTGCCATCCTGCGGCTTGCTGGTGCCTGTAATAGGCGTAGTTGTTCATGATAAAGTTGTAGATACCATTCAAATTGAGCTTCCCTTCGGGTGTATTGATAATGGCCTGAGTGATCATTTGCGCGTAACTGTATTGTGGCTTGATGTGCTTATTATCGTCGTGACTAAGATCAATGTCATTCGAGTTCACCAACAGAGTGCCCGAGCTCGAATAATGTGGCGACTTGTGTTGCGATGGTGTGGGCTTCCCACGCACAGAGGGAGGGGTCCCAGGTCGCTTGTAATCTGCTGGTGCCGGAGCTATGGGCTGGCGGAAGTGCTGGCCTCGCGAACTCCTGATTGTTGATCCCAGAGCTGAGGACGGCTCCTCTGGCAAATCTGTTCTGGGTTGAGGGGGACTTGTGATATCTTGTCGTGACAAACCAGCCCTCTTCAGGTAGAGATTGTGGATGTGGAGAGGGGTGACCTCTGTCGGCAGGACGAACATCATCTCCGTGTTACCGATGTCGAGTACTTGACCGCTCTGAAGAGGGTTCGAATGACCTGCTTTCAAGGACACGCCATCCACTCGGACACCGTTCCTTCCCTTGACTTCGAGGAACCAGACCTCTTCCTTAGAACTGAAGTAAATGCGAGCGTGTTGTCTGGAGACCATTTTACTCGGGCCAAGATCGATGTGGATAAAGTCCTCGTCATCCTCGTCGACACCTTCAGCAGAGCGACCAATATTGACGTTAAGTTTCGTGATGTAAAAGGTCCAATCCTGTGCGGCGATCTTAGCATACGCCTGAACGCCGTTCTTGTTGGCTTCATGCATAGAGTTTGCATGATCTTTGCTGGCTTGCACAGGCCCCTCTTTAGGATAAGTCAAATGCTGGACGACCTGGGAGAGTAGCTGATCATCGTCGCTGGAGGGCTGACCGGACTGATCGGCGGTGAGACTGGACTCGTCTTCGTCGGCGGGCGAGACTGGCGGCGGTTCTTCAACCTAGAAGCAATGTCAGAAGACCGTCCTGATGTGGCGCGTACCTGGGTTAGGGAAACGGGTACCTTCTTGCGACGCTTGGCAGGGCGACTAGGTGAGCTATCATCGACTCTTGCGGCAGGAGAAGTGTCCCGGCGGGTGTCGCGACGGGTGCGCTGGGAGCGCTTTGCTGATGCAGGCATGATGAGGATGTGTCTTTTGCAGCATGCGGCAGCTGATGGGGAAGGATCCGAGCAAGGGGAGTTCGGAGGTGCCAAACCGGGCAAACAATGATGGGCGGCGTTTGTTCAAGTAGTCGGTCTCAGAGGATTGAGGAATGGGGGGCGAGCGGTCGTGTCTCGTAGACTCGTGAGGGCTGGTTGAAGTGGACTTCGAGGCAGAAAAATGCCACCAGGAGGATAGGCGTAGGGTGTGCGTTGGATGGGTTGGTTGGCTGCGAGTAGTGCGGAAGCGAGGGAGGCTGTAGGTTGGATAAGGCTTCGGTTGAATGTGAGTTATCCCGATGCTTTGAGAAGAAAGCCGGGGCTTGGGACCACGCGAGGCGCAAGCGCAGGTGGCTCACTTTCAAGATTGGGTCGCGGTCGCAGTCGTGGTAGCAGCCGCGGTCGGATGGCGTTGATGACCACCACAGGTATGCGTCTAAAACCTGCGGAAGCAGAGGAGGGAAAAGAAAAGTGATCCCTAGGCCAGAGTTTGCGATCACGAACAGTGGTAACCGTGGAGGTGAAGATGATGAGTGGTGGGAGCTGAGGATATCAGCCAGCGGTTGGCTTGGATTTGTGCAAGGGTTGAGAGATGCTGTCGCGAATGTCTGGCACGCGTCGTCCTTTTTGGGAGGGAGGGAGGGGGAAGGGCGTTAATTAAGTCGGGGGTGTCGGTACCAGACAAGGTGCCTAGGTGAGGTACATTTTGCCAAGGCTGATAGAGCTGAGGGACGAAAGGTAAATCAGTGGCCTGTGACGGTATGCTAAGCCTCCCAGTGGCTATCTGGACTGGCCAGCAGGTACCTATCTACCTACCTGCCCGGGCTGAAGTAAGGCAACCAACCTACTTGAGATACCTCCACTACTGAGGTACCGCCAGGCACGGAGTCCGGGCTGATACTGTACGTGTGCGTGTAGCGTGCGTACCCTCGCTCCTCAGGAGGCTAAATTACGTGCATTGAGCGCGAAAAAGGTGTCAGGTTCCGTGCATCGTGCCCACTCCTTACCCGTCCGCCGCCCTACGCAGTTTCCTAGTGCATTGATGGATAGCATACACAGGTTGCCGACCGACTGTGGATTTCTCACAGCCCGTGAAGCCCTGTCCTGTGGCCAAGGTTGAATCATCAAAGTCCATCGCATCGCAGGGTGGTGCGATGGAATTAGGAACCGACATCCCGTCAGGGGGGAGAATATCTGCCATCATTCCAGACCCTCGGGCGGCGCACCGCAACGTCGCCGTTTTCTATCCCTAGAAATGGCGGTAGTGCGCGCGTTGCTCCCTTATTCCGCCGAGTTGCGTTGGATTCTTGATACCCAATGGACGAACGGCACGACTAGCATTTCAGCTACTTCAATTCTTATTTTAGGCAGAAAGAAGGGGGAAGGGGGGCACATTCATAAGCCATACACGCGAACGTTAGTCGCTCAATCGGTCACGTAGAGATACCCAAAACCCAGCTGGGCTGTAGGGCGGATGGAACGCGATAGAGAACAGTAGTACCTTACCTCACTTATCCCACCCCCCCACATTGCCCGCATCGAATTGAATATCACATGGGTACACGTAAATTGGCATTGCAGTAGACATACTTGCGCTACACACTTTGGCCAGTCTTTATCAAAATGCACGAGATCATCACTCTGCAACTGGGCGAGCTGAGCAACTACGCAGCAACTCATTTCTGGAACACCCAGGTTCAGACCCCAGCTTTCTATACCACCGCTTTGCTCGTTGGCCACTGACTCGACTCGTTTCTTTCTCAGGAATCCTATTTCACCTACTCGGCCGAGGATGAATCTCCGGTGAATCATAACGTTCACTGGCGCCCAGGTGTAGCCCTGGATGGCTCCGAGACCTTCCTCCCGCGCACCATCATCTATGACCTGAAGGGCGGCTTCGGTTCACTCCGCAAGATCAATGCCCTCTACGACGCTAGCGATGAATCTGCTCCCACCCATCTCTGGTCGGTTCAATCCATATCCCCTCACCAGAACGGCCCTTTGTTTCCCCAGTCCTGCTCACCTCATGACAGGGAAGGGTCGGCTCGTGTTCACAAACAGCCTGAGATAGAGCAGAGTGCCTACCAGCAGAGTCTTGATCTTGGCGCTCCTGCTCCGACACTCAAACCGTCCGACGTGCGGTACTGGTCAGACTTCTCTCGCGTCTTCTACCACCCGAAATCACTCAATCAACTATACGACTATGAGCTCAACTCATCCATCATGCCCTTTGATAAATGGTCACTAGGAAAAGAGCTTTTTGACGGTCTGGACAGGGAGCATGATATAGTGGACCGAGATTTTCGCCCTTTCATCGAAGAAGCGGACCAAACGCAGGGCTTCCAAATCGTCACCACCATCGACGACGCCTGGGGTGGCTTCGCGACCGAGTACATCCAGCGTTTACGGGATGAATACGGAAAAACTCCCATATGGGTTTGGGGTCTGCAGGCACCTGCTCCGGGGCTGATGATTGTGAGAGCCCCCAATCTAGATTCTTGGGCAGCTTCTTCGTCCTGGCAACCAGACTAACCCTATCGCCAGGATCAACGACGTACGCAAGCAGCCAATACTGCGAGAACCGTCAAGGACCTATGTGAGCATGCTTCCATGATGGTGCCCATGGCACTTCCTCACGGCCGACTGCCCTCCAACATCAACCTGAACTTGCAGTCTCTCTGGCATACTTCAGCCCTGCTTAGTACTGCCATGGAGACGGCCACTATCGCGTCGCGTCTGAATTCTCAAGTTGGTGGAAGTAGCCCTCGGGCCTCACTTGGTGATTTAGTCAGCGGTTTGAACCTGCAGGGTAAGCAGACTATGAGCAGGCTTCAGTTGAGCGTTACCGGGCCGAAATCAATCTCGAGCGCGGGAATAAACCATGTAGACGACCACACCAAGCTGGACGTTGACTTTTTTGATATCCTGAGAACCAAACCCCTGCCCCGCAAAAGAAGCCTCGAGGAATCGGCTAGCACGCCACATTTCTTTGGTCACACTGTCACCACCCGTGGCCAGGCACAAATCTCGGAAGATAGCAAGCAAACACATCGGCCCAGAGCTGCCCTTGTGGAGACGAGCACTCAGAGGTGAGAGAACTGCCGCTCTCTTCGATATACCTCCCAATGTCAAGGAGGATTCGGCACAAGCTACCTCACTATCTAATTAGAGCTCACCATGCCACAGATACCACACAGAAAAGGGGTTCCCCATGCTCGATAGTTTCCCTCACATCTACCCAGACCGCAGCGACAAGACCTCCCCAGACACTTTGGGCACCATAGCGAGCCTCTCCACAGACACATCCGTGTCTGCAGCAATGAAGGAACTGCGCATAGCTGTTGCGTCTTCCATCGGTGTGGAGGATCGTGAGGATATTAGCAACGAGCTTGCCGATCTTGCTGAAGCATACCGCGAGGGTTGGTCGAGTGGTAGTGACGACGACGACGACGACGACTACTGCTGATAGATATCTCGAGCCGACACAATTCAAACTTTACGAGACGAGGGCCACCAACCACAAGTGATAATGCACAGTCTATTCGTGAAGCTGTGGAATATCTAATGTACAATTACTCAAGCGCATCCAGCCACCTGAGAGTAGAAGATACTGACTGCAATGCATACAAACCGCATGCTCCCTTTACGCCTATTTCATGGGTGCCAGTTCTATTCCTGGATTGCTCTTTAGTAGTCTCCGCTCGTCCGAGTAGACTCACGTCGAGCGACCATCGGCGAGTAACATACCAAAGTCCACGATACGTACTGCTATTTTTGATTCCTTTTCTTTTTTCTGGGGGGTTGGTTGTGGGGTGTGTCGACTGGCTGAATTTTTCTTCGACAAGTAGCGCCAGCATCCTGACTAGTTTTGCATTTGCCGTCTGAAGCCGTCCCATGGTGCCGCAGTTGACCCAGCTGGAGTGCATTCGTCATTCCTTGCCTGCTGATTAGTGAACTGGTGAAAGGGGTGTACAGCAGAGGCTGCTGTACTGGCATCATGCCAACAGTGTTCGCAGGCGAAGCTGAATACTTGAAAGGCCTTGATGCACGGTGTGCGATAGCATGCTCTGCAGAACACTCTCAGCCGGCCGCTGTCACAGAGGCGGCCTGGCGTTTTGCTGGAGGTTGTGGAGTTTCCTAGATGACTCGTTAGCAAAGATTGGTGAAGGGATTTCATTGGGCCGTAGCGAGCTTTCCGTTGTAGCGGCGAGCTCAAGTGGTGGCAATACCTCTGAAGCACCTCGTTTCTTGACTTGCGCAGCCCCGTTGGTGGCATTTTGCCTCTTCTGAGGCTTCAGGGGCTTCTTTTCGCCAGGTTCGAAAACGTCGTCGGGGAGGTTGAAACTAGATACGAATGAGCCTAGTCACTGATACATCCGCGTGTTGCGCCTACCTTCGCACATGCTGGACCGTCAGGGAGTTGAGTGTGGGCTCATATTTATCCCACGAAGTACACAGCGACTTGAAGTTGTCCACCTGATACGATAGATCAAGCGATTTGGCGCCTAGCAAGTCAGCATTACCCACACCCAGAAGACTCCAAGGGAACCTGAAAGGAAGGATGGAGTGCTGAACACAAATCAATTAGCGGCGACCTACCTTCGCTCAATGTAAGGCCGATATAGTGCGTTGTCGTGAACACCTCGGCCAGAGGCGACCGTGGTTTGCAGTCCTCCAGCTTGACCTGATGCTCATCCTCCAATTTGAACTTGTCCCCTCCGATGACCTCCTTCTTTGAACCCACGTTCGTGTCAAGCGCTTCAGCTTTCAGCCCGGGAATGCTGTCTGTCTCGGTCTTGAGACCTGGAATCCCGTTCAGCTCAGCTTTGGTTTCGAGCTTCTCTTCCTTCAAAGCACTCGCGTCGTCTGTGGCCTGGCTGTCTTTGACAAGGAAATTCAAGCTTCCTGCCTGAATTTGCTGGACCTCTTCGTCGCTCGTACATCTGTGACGGCGCTCGTAGCCCTTATTGAACGCATGT